GGATATGTCTAGCTGTAATTTTCATGCCATATAATTTACCTTATAAAGAAGTGCTTTGTCGGCATCGGATGGTTCGCCTTTTTTGCTCCAAAAATCCACAAAATCGAAGCTGAAAATTTTAGCTCAATAAAAAGAAGCAGAATTCTTTTCTTTCTTTTTTTTTCTCCTGTGGAGGCTGCTGGGGCAATCGCTCAAGCTAATAAACAATGCTTTATTTAAAAAAACAAAAAAATAAAACTCATACAGCAAAACATGTTGAGACCTCAATGATCTTTGATCATGATCTTCGAAAGTTCTAGGGAGTTCTCTATTTTAGATTATTGTGCAAAATTTTCTGTAATGTTCTTTGTGACTGCATATAGATCGGGTTGGGTTGTTTAATATTTTTTGTTGTGCTCTACTCCCTGTATAAATACCTCTGCTTTTGTTGGTTTGTTGTTCGTTGCTAATATTGGGTTGTGGATAAATCGACTCATTCTTCTGCGTCAATTACCCTGTATTCGTCGTCGTCTCGGACCCAACAAAACAGATCGACAATCGTGGGAGACTCGGCACCGTACAATTATGTTGGGGCGAAAGGGCTCCAAGCTGCTGCCACACAATTTTTGGCACAGAAAAACAATATCACCGTTTCATTTCTAATCACATCATTACATATCACGGAGGGGGAACTCAAGTCAAGAGACGGGACATTTGCATATCATATGGAATCAAAGGGCAACTGGGCAAGACGAAAGAGTTTAGCCGGCAGCTTCGTTTCCTTGCTGTTAACACCTTGTTCCTTTTGCAACAGGACATCACTGAGCATCACCAACATCCCGTTCCACGAATACAGCCATTTCGAGTAATAAACATATCCAAACTGCTATTCCTAGACCACGCTGTGCACAGAGACAATTTCTCATACCCCAGGATGATCACCGTCCATAAGACACACACACACACACACACATACACACACAATCACTAGTGATAATACATCTGCTGGATTTGATCAGTGGTACCTCAACGTGGAACGCGGGAAGCACTGCACCTATTTTGCGTGTACATTTATTAGTTCCTCCAGCAACTGACCTGTTCAATCGGCTAAACCGAAGTTCCTCTTCGCAGCTCAATTTTGGATCCAAAACGATGTTCATGTTGAGATGAGTTTTTCACCTGAAAAAACTTAACTTCGCCAACTTTTAAAAGGCAATATAATAATAAGGGCAGTATGGGCCGCAGAGGCCCTTTGAGGATCACATCAATACAAACTATAAACAGCCACCGTGATGCAAAGGAACGAAATCGAGTTTTGATAATTAATGAAAACATTGGAAGTGCCATTTAGATCTCCCAAATAAGCAAGGGAAATTCGTTTAATGCGGTGGAGAACGATGAACACTTATGTGCATGTGTTAGCTAAAGATTTCAAACTCAGCCCCGAGTGTGCGTCGTACTTACGTAAGGTCGTATGA